GGCGGGAAGAGGCCCCGCCGGGCCTGAGGGGTGTGAGGGGATGAGGGGAAACGCTCCTGGGGAGGTGAGGGTTGGGTCTGCTTTGCGATTCCTGCCCTCGGGAAAGGAGAAGCCAAGGCGAACGGCAGCGCGGGGTTCATTTCAGTCCTGGGTGGGATTTCTGTGCCAGTAAAAAAAAAAAAAGTTAAAAAGAAGGTGCTGGGGCAGCCTGAGTTTCACCCGAATCTCAGAATCACAGAATCCTAGGGCTTGGAAGGAACCTCGAAAGATCATCCAGTCCAGCCCCCCTGCCAGAGCAGGATCACCCAGAGCACATCACACAGGAACGTGTCCAGGTGGGGTTTGAATGTCTCCAGAGAAGGAGACTCCACAGCCTCTCTGGGCAGCCTGTCCCAGGGCTCTGTCACTCGTACAGGAAAGAAGTTCTTCCTGATAATTCCCCTTGAACCTTCTATGCTCCAGTTTGCACCCATTGCCCTTTGTCCTATCACTGGACATCACTGAAAAAAGCCTGGCTCCATCCATCCATGGATACCTGCAGTGACAGGCTTAAAATCAGGCAGTAAAATTCTAGCCTTGCTCAAGAAAAAGGGTGTTTGCAGTGGTAGCTGCAGTTCCACACTGAACGTGAGAGGGTCAAGCGTGGCTGCAGAGCTGCTTTCTCAGGAAGAAGCTCTCTAAGGTGCCCAAGGTGCTCCTCACTACTGCCTGTAACCCCCTTAGCCCCACACACCAGTGTTGTGCAAAAAGCCTTGTGCTCCAACAGTGGAGATAGGGCATGAGAAGATGGAAAGGCTGATCCTGAACTGATTCCTCTTCTCTCTTGCTCGCCCATGGACTTCCACTGGATGTGGGTCAGCTCCGTACATTGTCCTCCTTCATAGGACATCAGTGACTGAGCCACGTAACCCTGGGACTCAGTCTGCCACAGAAATAAATTGTCAATCACTACAATAAATGCCTTAATTCTTGGGCAAAATTCACGTTTACCTACTGTGTTGCAGAGTTTTTGGCCAGTCTTGTTGAGAGCTTATGTTACCCTATAACAAGTATTGTTTGACCTCATCCATATTTACAAATATGTTAAGGGTGAGTGTTAGGAGGATGGAGCCAGGGTTTTTTCAGTGATGCCCAGTGATAGGACAAGGGGCAATGGGTGCAAACTGGAACACAGGAGGTTCCACGTAAACATCAGAAAAAACTTATTTCCTGTGAGACCACTGGAACAGGCTGCCCAGAGAGGTTGTGGAGTCTCCTTCTCTGGAGACATT